GAATCCTCATTCCACCCAGAATGCAGGCCCAGCGTGTGAATGAGACCACCTGGAGCCCACCAGATCCTGAGTCGACCCAGAGTGAAGAGTGAGACCGCCCGGGGCCTGCGGGATCCTCATTCGACCTAGAGCCCAGGCCTGGTGTGGATCCCTTCAACAGAACTCCTTGCCAAGAGGCCAGAGGCAAGGCCCACCCAGTTGGTTCAGGAGAAGAACATCTTGCCAGAGTGGCACAGAGGGTTCACCTCCAAGGACTGCAGCAGGAAGAAGTGGAGCACAGCAGCCAGACCCAAGCCACACTCACCTGGATGAGTTTCAACTTCTTAGATCCGGACTTGGTGCTAAGGTAATAACTGTAAGTTCTACACCAAAGGTCAGAAGACAGTGGTATACAAAATGACAAAGAGAAGGAACAAAATGCAGTCTCAGGCCCCGAGTCCACCCAGTACAAATGCAGAGGACACTAGCATAGAAGAAATTAGAAATTACACACCTGAAATTTCTGAAATAATAATGTCAGAAGTAAAGAAACAACTGCAGAAAGGTATAGAGGAAATCAGATCAGAAATAATTTCTGAAGTAAAAAAAGAAATGATAACTATAATCAAAAAAATACTAAGTGCTTCTAAAGAAGAGACTATTAAAAAATGGAGCAGAGTATAAAAATGATGGAACCCCTGAATAAGCAATATAGGAAAGAAATAGAATGCATGAAGCAGATTCAAAGTGATATACAGGAAATTAAAACCTCAGTCATAAGCTGGCAAAACTGTTTGAATGAAAGTGGAAATAGACTTTAAGACTTTAAAGACACCATTGCAGCTAGTGAAAAAGTAAGAAAAGATCTCTTAAAAATAACTAAAATGCAGGAAAAAATAATTAAATACCTGCAAGATGATGCAAAGACGAACAACATGAGACTAATAGGCATCAATGAGAAGGAAGGAGTCAATACAAATGATATAAATAGAATATGGGCAGAAGTAATAGCAGAAAACTTCCCAAATATGGGGAAACAATCTGACCTTCACAACCAAGGCATATAGAACTCCAAATAACATCAACCCAACTAAAACCACACCCAGACATATAATAATCAAGATCCCAGAAATTCAGCACAGGAACAGTATACTAAAAGCTGCTAAAGAAAAGAAACAGATCACATTTAAAGGCAAACCCATCAGAATAATGTCAGATTTCTCTTCACAAACCATGAAGACAAGAAAAGCATGGAGCAAAATAATACAAGTCTTGCAAGAAAACAAATTCCAACCCAGATTGATATACCATGCAAAACTCTCTGTCAAGTATAATGGGGAAGTGAAATACTTCCATAACAAAGAACAACTTAAGAATTTCATGATGACAAAGTCAAGCCTATACGGACTACTAAATGATGTTCTAGAGAGGGAGCAAATTGATCACAACTCCATGAATGAGAATGGAAAGAACCCACCAAATAGGGCAAACAATTAAACACAGGAGAATAAGAGGTATACAAGAGTAGTCTTTCAGTTATTCTTTTGTGTACAGCAGCAAAATATTTACACCAGCACACTTTACAAATAGACTTCTCCTGCACCCTCTGGGTCATGATTCTATCTGGGTTTACAGGGTGGATTTCAAGGAAATAGCAGTAGCTCAGTCCCACAAGTGACACCTGGCCACCAGTAAGTGTCATGGTCATTATCCATATCCACAACACACTAGAACTTATGTTTTATTCTTAATACTTCTCTACTATCATGAAAATTTTTTCTTAGTTCAATTGTTTTGAAACATTTGATTTTTAATTAATTAGTACTTAATTTTCCCAAATATTGCTTAATCTTAATTTTTGTTTTAAGATTTATACTATATCTTTGACTTGCAATTTATTTAAAAGACATGGTATGATATTTTCTCCTAGTATTAGAAACTTTAAAAAGTATATTTCCATTTTCTGTTGACTTTATATTACTTCTTCCCTGTCTTTTATACACACATACACACACATATATATATATATATATATATATATATGTATAACCTGACATTGGATTGGTACTGTTTCATAGAAATCTTTAATGACCTTTTAAATAAGGGTTCATCTAATATATTTTATATAGTCCTGCCTGACTATCATTTTGAGAGCTCTTTATTGTTCACCCAGGAGCATACTGCAACTTCCCTTGCCTTTTGAATTATGCTCTTTATTATTTCCTATATGCTATTTCCTATATGCTATGTCTGGAGGTATATTTCAAGTTTGTATAAGTGGAAAATATTTTACTTGTAGTTTTCAAAGGTATGTTTGCTAAGTATAAAATTCAGAGAGGACAGATTTTTTTATTTTTTTTCTTTCAGTCCTTTAATTAGTCTAGTTTCTTACACACTTGGCCTTTTTTTTCTTTCTAATGTGGAATAAGATGCTATTTAATTTTATTCTTCCATAGCTAATTTTTTTGTATATGCTTTAATGATTTTTTTCTTTACAAAAAGTTTTGGACAATTTCATTTTTGTATATCTTGGTATGAGTTTATTCAAATTTCTTGTGCAAAAGGTTCATTTTTCTTGGAAATGTGTTATAAGTTCAACTAAATTCAGAAATTTTAAATCTTTAACTATTTATTGCCTACCCCTTTCTACTTTGAGAATTCTAATTATATGACTATAAGTTTCTTGGTTTTGACACAAGGTGAACTATTATATGACTGATCTGTGATTTCTTTCCTCTTCATTTCTATTTTGGACAGTTTTTATTATATTCATTTAAGTTTGTAAATAATTTATTTACAGTGTTCAATCTATTAATCTCATGTGATATATTTATCTCAGAAATATTTCTCTAAAAATCACTCTTCTACATCTTATATCTTTCACATTTCAATATTTGTCTGCAATTTCTAGTATGATATGTAATTATTGATTTTCAAGAAAGGTAATAAAAAAATAAAACAACCCTCGTGTTGGCCCCGCCCCCTGGGTGTGCTGAGAGAGTGACTGAGACTTGGCGTGGTGGCATACGTCAGTAATCGCAGCTCTCTGTTGCTGAACATAGGCGGATCCCTACAAGTCCGATCTATGTAGTGAGACCCTGTAGACCCTTACTAAAATACAAAACAAAACAAAACAAATAATACCCCTGTCTGTTCCCAAGGCATGTCGTGTGTGTGTGTGTGTGTGTGTGTGTGTGTGTGTGCACGCTCCAATGCATGCTGAAGTGTGGCTGCAGTGCGGGCTAAACACCACAAGTCCTAGTGTGGTTGGGTTGGGCCACCAACTGCACAAAACACCCCACAAAGGATCTTCCCAGTCACACAGTAGGCTTCTCTTTGAAAAGGCAGGAGGAGTTCTGTGCTCACCCAAGGAGGGTTATGGGAAGGGGCACAGCTGAGAGCCACAGCTACATCACAAAAGGAAGCAACTTTCTCTGAGTGGGTGAAGGGAGCTGCCTCAGGGCCAGCCTGTGATTCAGGGGCTTGTCCTCCAGGCCCCATCACGAAGGATTCTGCCCGTCTGTCTCCAATTTGGTTAGCTTAGGCCACAAGTGATTTAGCACCCGGGAAAGCAGGTGTGGCCTCCTGTAGGAGGGGATGGGTGGACGGCACCTGCATCCCTGCCTGCTGAGAGCCCAGGGCCTTCTGGGGGTGCAGCCAACCAGGCGGCTCTGAAGGAGGCTCAGCCTGCGCCCTGCTCAGAGACAGGGAGGGACTCCACTGGGGGCCCAGGTGTGGCTGTCCAAGGCTCACGTGCTCCTCTCTCCTCCCTGCTTCTCACGCCCATCTCTCCTTTTCTGGCTGGCAGCAATGACCCCGATGTGGTCAAGGAGAACATATGGGCAACCCTTGGTGACTCAGGAAATATCTATGCCCTGACCAGGAGCCAGGAATCTAAACAGTATGACTGAGACTCCAGCCACCTAGACCAGGGCCGGGAGCCCCGATGGAAGTACAGGAAGCCCCTTAGATGTAGTGGAAATGAAGATTCCCAGTTAGTAGGTCTGTGGAGGGACTGTGAAGATGGGTTGCTAACCGGCCCATTGTTGAAGCAGCCCCCTGAGCACCACCCCTGAGAGAGCATGATCTAAATGGGATCGCCCGGCTGCAGGGCTGGACTGCTTCATGCACCCACCTGGGGCTGGCAGACCTCTGGTGCCACGACCCTTAGCTCCTGCACACATACACCTCAGGCCAGAACCCCATCGGCCTCCCCTGCTCTTGGCACAGGTCTTCTGGCTTCCTGCCTCTGCCCTGCCCCCACACATTCTGTCCCAGTCTTCTCCCCTCTCAGTAACAGGAGCATATTTCCTAGGTTCCCCTTGGTATCAAGGTGCCTATTTCAGGGACACTTTCTCCCAAGGCCTGAGCCCCAGCTGTCTTCTTCAGTAGCTTCAGGGGCAAGACAAGGGACACTCTGGGTGCAGGTGTGAATCCCAGGACCTCAATGCCTGAAAGAAAGAGTGCTATATTTCTGCATTCTGCGTGTCAGGGACCCCCAATTCCGGAACATTGAAAATGTCTTCAGGCATAGTAATGAAGCAGTCAGTCGTGGTGTCACCAAGACAGTGTTCTCTTTATTTTAAGTTTGCCAGGAAAGGGAGGAGCTCTCTCTGAAAACATTCTGATCAGTTGGGAGAAGCCAGAAGGATGACAACAAAATAGCCTACTGGGTGGCAACAGGGTACAAGGAAAAGGAGAGAGTCCAAGGTCACACGCAGGACTGGGTTGGAGGAAGCTGTGCAGGTGCCCTTGCCACTGCAGTGCACAGCTGTGGCCTGGGACCTAAGAGGGGTTGCACAGAGGGTGGGAGGGCTACTGAGAGCTGCATGCAGTGTGGGCCTTTGCTGGGGGCTCAGCAGGCTGAGACCCCACACTGCAAGAGGAGTGGAGCTGGGATTTGCCTGCTGTTACAGGGAGTGGCAGCCTAGCTCAGAGGTCGGGGCCCCAAAAGCTGGTGCAGGGCATGGAAGAGCAACAGGACAAGATGCAGACGGCAGTGCACCAGCCAGGGAAGCTACCTAGACAATCACTGAATTAAGCTCCAGATCACCATCCACCTCCAAGTGGACAATGCTCTGCAGGTCCTTCAGGCGGTGGGCATAATCCAGTAGGTGTTTGCCGTCCATACTCACACTGTAGCACTCAGCTTGACAAGTGATCATCACCTGGGCAGAAAGGCCTTGCATTCACACCCCATGCAGGAAGTACTTAGACTCCTGCAGGCTGGGGGCCCTCCTCCCCATCTCCTTCCTCTCCCCAGAGCACCCCCCTCCAGCTCCCTAACTGAAGGAACCACTTGACCCTAAACACCCTGTGCTATCCTCCCTGGACCCTCAGCACCCACAGTTCCCAGCCCTCACTGCTGCTCCTAGCCTGCATCTCTGCCCGTGTGTCACTTCCAGGCACCTCAGGACCCAGCCCCCTCAAGTCAGCCTTCTCTGCCCCGACCTGACACCTCCCACAGAACCAAGGACCACCTCAGTCCTCCAGGGCAGCAGTGCTGTACTGAGCCTTCTGTGTCCACCATATCCCTGCCTCACTCTGCAGCAGCAAGAGCAGCCCCTTGACTGGTCTCCTCCAGCCCAAGACATTCTCCAGGAGGCAGTCAGGGTCCAAATGCAATGGTCACACTTGCATCACACTGTCCTACTGTGCACAGAGACTACTTTGCCCATTCCCTGAAGTCTGAAATCCCAGGATTCTCAGCCCCATTTCTAGGTGAGGAAATGGAGCCTCAAACACACGATGACCGTCCCTGGCCGAAAGGTACTTCCCCAAGGTCACACCACTACCTATCAGTCAAAGGCATTTTCCCAGCAGTTCTTCCTCCATAGCTTCGCCCTGTAGTAAAATCCAAGCTCCCTTCCCAACCCCAGAGCTTTCCTCCTGTCATTTCCCACCCAGAGTGCAGAGTGCAGGCCTCCAGGACACAGCTTCTCCCTACGCGGATGCCCAGGGGGACAGTCTCGGTGGCTTGGGGGTGGGAGGAAGGGAGGACAGGCATCATGGACCTGCTCTCCTTTCTTGTTTTCTTCTTTCCCCTCTTTTCTTTTCTTTTCTTTTCTTTTGCTTTTTTCTCTTCCTTCATTTTCCTTTTCCATCCTTCCTCTTTTCTTTGTCTGTGCTAGTAGGGAAGAACCCAGGGCCTTCACGTGCTGCTGTGCTTTTTTTAAATTTTTTTTGCTTGGATATGAGGCCTAAGTCACTAAGTTGACAGGTGGGACTGAAATTGTTGGGACCTTCCTGAGCCATGAGCTGCTATTACAGGTGCACGTGCCCCTGCACCTGGCTTTACCCTTTGTAAGGTCTGCGGGATCCGAGTGTGTGGTCAGGCGGAGACGGCCTGCTCCCAGTGACCAGGCTGCAGCCACAGCCACAGCTCTCCCCGCACTCTGCACCTTGCAGGCAGCTCTACACAGGGCCCTCCCTCCTCTGCACATTGGCCCTCAAGTGCGCATCCTGCAACAGGCCTTATATCCATTCTGCTGAGCAGGCTCTTCATCTGTGCTGCTGGGCTCCTCCATCAGTCTCCTTGCTCTTCCCCTCCTAGACACAGCCCCATAGCATGAGCCTAGCTCTCTGCTTCCTGCCTGTCTCCCTGTCACCGGGCATCTCCTGGACCACATAGACAAAATCAAAGAGCTGGTAAATGACTGCTGGGTAAACAAGCAGATAAATGACTGGTACCTCATTCTTGGGTACCATTTGGCAGAATTGGGCTGTGTGATCCCCAGAAAGTAAATTATCTTGTGATTTGGATGGTTTTTCTATGTATATTAAATGCCAACCTGTGCCAACCTGGAGACAACCATCATAAAATAACAAGAGTTTGTGGCACATTCCCTGTCCCTTGAGACTCAGCCATCCTATCACAGGCATCAGCTCCACCCACTGAAGGAACCCCCAGGGAGCCTCAGCCCTGCTATCCTTACACCCAGCCAGGTGCCCACGCTCAGGCTGTAGCATCTCACCGTGAAGCTGTATCCTTGTCTGAAGGGCATGTTGAAGGGCAGGCTTCGCTCCTCTGTCCCCCAGAGACCCTGGATCTCAGTGTTCCGGACCACAGTGTTCTCATCAAATCGAGGGTTGAAGTGGAAGGCAATGTCGCTGTCTGTGCACAGGTTGATGTAGAACCTAGGGTGGGCGCGTCAAGTGGACCTTCTGTGTACCCTGAGGTCAGGTGAACCCCTTCCCACTCATTATCCACCTCATTGGAACCAAGGCATGGCTCTCTCTTCCCTGAGACTCTGAGGTCCAGTCTTACCTTTGAGCATTTTTCAGGACAATGCCAGACACAGTGATGACCCTGGAAGGGTACAGTCCTCCATGAATGGAGACATGGTGAGGGAGCTGTTGGGACATGGGGACAGGTCAGCCAGCGACCACAGAGAGCTACCATTACAGCAAGGAACTCTGTACCAACGGTCATGGACTTGGACAGTTAGCTGAGTCAGAAGTGTTGCCTAAGAGCAGAACATATTTCCTGTGAAGCCAGCACACCCTTACTTGCTTCACTGCTTCAAAAGCCGAGGGAAAGCTTTGTGTTTCCAAAGCAGGCAGCCTTCACTGTCATCAAGAGACTTTAATTTAATTTAATTTTAATTTTTTTTGTCTTGACACTGAAGCACAGGTCCTATAATTAGGTCACACACAAGGGACCACTTGAATATTAAAAGTGCCCATCCCAAAATTATTAATATACATTCATTACTATAAAATGTCTATCTGTTTGACACTGGACTGTCTTTAATTCTGTAGGTCAGAGGATTCTCCCAACTTGGTACTACTATTGACCCTGGCATAGGAAACAAACTCTTCAGCTATTCTCCACATTCTGTTTCCCCAGGTTTTGAGTCCTGGTTTAGGACCTGATTGAGTGGAGAATGGGAAATTCAGTGTGGGAGCATTTTGCATGGCTCCAAAGTGCCCAACACTTGGGGCATGTAAGTGCGCTTCCAGACGTAGTGCAGGTAAACACACATGTGCTGGTTAGGACACTATGCAGGAAAGTAAATACAGGATGACAACATGTATGAGACTCAACCAATAGAGATGCAGGTGGATCTAGCTCTGCTCAAATGCCTGCTACTGCTGTGTTGCTGATGCCCACCTCTGCTCACCTTTCTTGGGACCTCATGCAGGAATTTAATAGTTCAGTCTCTGAACCCTGACAGGTTGCAGAGTTGGCAAAACAAACTGGGTCAAGAGTAAAAAGTGAGTGTATCCCCCCCACACCTGATGGTGAAGGAGAGCACTGGAGATGAAGTGCCAACACGCCTCCCCCAGTCCTGTCTTTGTTAATCATAGTCACCTTTAGAGCAGCTTGGAAGGACAACCTTGATGAGGAGAGCTTGAGGGCCAAGCCCAGGGAAAAATCCAGAAACACCCAAAATATAGAAACCTAAGAAAATTCCACAGGCATGACTGACTCCAGGCAGGATCCCAAGCCCATTGCTGGGCAGAGAGAATCCTGCCCAGCCCAGGTGATGACATAGGGAAGAGCCCCAAGGCAACAAGCAGGAGGCAGGCAGGCAGGTATGGACACACAGGCAGTGGGAGCTAGGTGGCCCTGGCACTGCTCCTCCTCCGGCCAGCACCAGGAAGGGCTCTAACACCTGACAGCCCATGCCACACTTGGCCTAAGTGCACAGAGGACAGCAGTGGTGTGAGGACACGCTGGCCATGTTAGGACACGCTGGCTGTGCCAGGAACCCCATCCCAGTGCACTGGGATGAGGAGAACCTAAAACAGCAGCTGGCTGCTATGAGATCCAGGTTGTGGATGCAGGAAACAGGGCCACCTTGCTAAGCTTAAATTACTGTTTCTGGGAGAGTCCCCTGTACTGCTGCATGCCTGCTATTCAGCAGGAGGTGGCATTAGGAGAAGAGCCCTAGTTGGGGTGGTGGGCCTGAAGGACTGCCCAGTTCTATCCATTCTTTGCAGCAAGTGATTGATAAGGACTGGGGAGATGAGCAAAACATAAGGTGGGTGGCACTAGGCAAGCGGGAGTCAGCATCCCAAGGACACGCTATGGGTCCACACAGGTCAGACGGCAGCACACATGGATATACCTGATGGCTGGCTGCAGGCTTAGCTGCAGGTAAGTTAAAGGGACAGTCCTGCTGGGGAAATGGGCGCTCACACTGTGGAGCTAGGGGGCAAAGGACTGGCAATGAGTGCGTTGAGCTTGTGGGAACCCAGTTCTCAGCTGCAGCCCAGAGGAAGCTGTAAAACATTTCACGCTCCAGGTGGACACCACCAGGCCCTGCAGGCCTGAGTGAGAGATAGACGCTTGTGCGGAGCCCCCCTGTGATAAAACAGCACACCACTGGTGGCACTGAACCAGTCATTGCATCCTCCAGTGACAGAAAAACTGTGAAAGCCCACTCTGTACTCTGTTGCCAGAGTTGGCCTAGTACTCGGCGCTCAGGCAGTGAAGGCTCTGGGCTGTCCAAGACTCTTGTTCTTCTGATGTTTAGGTTTCCCCAGTGGCAAAGTGTATTCTGGTGGTAGGCAGACTGCCTGGTGCCCTGCTCAACACCTCACCCGGGAATTCCGCTTGCAAATTGTTATGGTAAAAGCTGAACTCTGACTCTTCCTATACCAGGCACCAGTGTCAACTATGTGGAGGTCATGAAGAAATGGAATGCCCAGGGTTGAAATTGGAAAACACAGGAGAACTAAGCTCTGCACAAGCCCTTCACTATGGCCTGTGCAGACACTAGTCAGGTCCTAATGAGTGAGTACAAAATCTAACACTGACACTGGCCGTCAGAACCAATCTGCTTTCACCCAGGAGGGCAGGCAGTGGCTGCTCCAGATGTTGCCACAAGGCTATTTGATAGCCCCACTTTGTGGCATGGTCTGGTGCCCAGGACCTGGCCAAGTGACACTCTCTGTTGCTCTTTCAATCTTCCATGATATCATGCGAACTTCTGATTGCCTTGCAGATTTTAGAGCTGCTGTGCACAGCGTGGAGGATGCTCTGCTGGCTTGGGCTGGCTGTGGATGAGGACTGGGGCTAGGGAACTGGCTTGTCTGTCAAATTCCTGTGTGATTTTTGCTCTGGCAAGACTGAAGTAATTACAACACAATTAGAGATAACCCAGAAGGGAATGATGGCTGGCAGCACAAACTGTATTTCAGGACTAAAAGGGGGCAGCTGCAGAGGTGCCAGCCCTAGCAGTTAGGGACCCCACCCTGCCCACTCTCCCAGGAGGCAATGAGGATAGTGTAATATTTGGCTGCAGCCTGCAACATCAAAAGGGAAGGAAGAACCCTATTGGTTTCATCATAGTTAAAAAAGGCAGCTGAAAACTGGCATTCCCTCCTTGAGAAAGTTCTCAGCAGTACCCCCTGCTCAACATGCCTGTGAGGGATCACAGGACAGCAGACAGTGGAAGGATAGGCACAATGCCCAATAGAGGGTGGGGTACAGAATGGTCATCAAGGCCATGAACTGGCGGGGCAAAACCCCCCACTCTCACATGTGGGGGTTGTTGAGATCCTTTGTCGCTTTGCTGCCTCGTGGGTGCCAGGAACTGTTTCACTCTTCGATTCCCCTCTGCAAGCCATGCTGCCTTAGACCACCCAGTTATGGCCTGAAAGCTCTACAAACTGAACTGATTAACCTTGCCTCCCTTAATTTGTGGGTGTCAGATATTTTGTCCCAACAAAGAGAAAAGACACTAGGACAACAAAGCAGACACTCAGCCTGAGGTAAGGAAGTCAGTGTTACTCCAGGACCCAGGACTGAGAGGCCATGGAGCAGGATCAGCATCACATGAGCTCTTTTGGCATTTCTGCCCTCCTGGGGGTGTCTTTGCCTCCACTTCCTCCAGACCCTTCACCAGTCCTTCACTCTGAGACCCTCAGCTGCTGCCCCTGGCTGTACAGCCAGCTCACACCTGGCCAACTCCACACTCACCTTGTGTGACATTTTGCAACAATCCATCTCTAATCCACCTGTGTGGCCTCCGCTGCCTTTGACACCAGCACAGCTGTCTCTGCTCAGAGCTGCACTTTACAAGGAAATATATACCAACACATTTGACAGCTCTTCAAAAGGGGAAAGGCTTAAAACAAAAGGACTGGGTGTGGAGAGGAAGCTAAGTGCTGGGGTGGTGGCGGTGAGTCAGAATTGGAGGTAGGTCCTTCTTGTGGTCCTCAAGCCCATTTATGGAAATGGAAAGCAGATTATCAATATACTTGAGTTTTGAAACTTTTTGAACACAGTTCCCCTTTCCTAGTAAAGACCCTTCTCTTTCTGTGTGTCTTGCTACAAGACCTAGTTCCCTATTGATCATTATTAGATTTTTGTCTGCACCTGCTATCTTATTGACTGATTACAGCTTGACCCGCACTGTACTCACTTCATGACTATGCACCCATCTGATGACTTTGCTCTATCAAACATTCCTAGATAAGTGACCTTGGAGGCACCCCACTCTCAGATCCCCTGCTGTCTTTCAGGAGAGAGCTCTCAATAAATCTCCCTACTCTTAGTGTTTGTTCACATAATTCATTCTTCAGTTTCATGGGATAGAACTGGTTGTCCTGACAACTAGTGGATTGGGAGTTAGATTTTCCCCTGTATCACTGGAAAGGCCCTGCAACATAATTGGAAGGATGTAAGAGTTCCCTTACATGTTTCATGAAACCCTGAAATATTCTGCCCAGATTCTGAATTGAGATTGATTTAAGTAATCAAAATTGTCATCCAGGGTTTACTGGGTGCTGGTTCCCTTTATTGTTTGCCTGAGCCATGTTAAAAGTTGAGATGAGAAAGTTGTTTGATAATAACAATAGGCTTGTCTTCTGGATGGTTAACAACCTAAGTTTGCAGACCAAAATTAGAGAAAAAGGAGGGCTACAAGGAAAGCCAACATTTTGGCCCTAACCTTCTAAGGTCAATTAAGACCCAGGACATATGAGAACTTGTACTGTAACGTCATGTACCTCGGTAGTGTCCCAAATTTTCTGATCAAGGAGATTATGGGGCCAAAGAGGAAAGTGATTGATGATGTAGAGTGTGTCTAAGGAGAGTCACATGGAGAGAAAACATTCTCTCAGGCTTTCACAGAGAGCACATTGCCCAAGCAATGGCTGTGACTCATCCACATGGCTGACACCGACAAAGGTTCTACAATCTGAGGTACTGGATCTCAGGATAAATCCTGAGGGGATTTATTCACTGACCTTATCAGACCCAAAAGCTACAACTCTTGTTGCATAGGTCCTGCTTTACCTTGGTCTTAACCATCCAGTAGAAAAGTATGAAGACGAAATACAGGAAGTAAAGCCATGCTGTTATGTTGAGCTGTGGGGGACTCAGGTCAACAATTTCTGACATTGCAGTTAAACAGAAGACCCAATGCTATTATGGGCTAGTGGACTCTTTTAGAATATTTTCTGAGTTTACACACCTATAAAATTCAAATAATGGAACTTAACAAAAAAAGGGTATACAGATGAATGTCCATTTTGTATCTGTGTATTCAAAGTGGTTAGGATAGATATATAGTTACATTCTCTTAATGAATAGAATGATTTGTTCTAATGGTGTTTGTAAATAGGATCTCAAGTCCACATCTTGTACAGCAATTAACCACTAAGAAGAATGTATGCAGTGTGTTAATTATTGAAACTGTCCTACCAATTTGAAACTGTTTCATTGCTATTTGTTTATCAATAAAATTATGAAAAAAAAAAGTTGAGATGAGAGAAGATTGCGATGTCTTGATACTTAGGCTTCCTTGATGGGGCACTTTATTCATGTAGGCAGTAGTGTACATTCCAGTTCTGCACATGTGGCACTTAGGCATTCATCTCTATTTGTTATTTTTTTTTCTGTTTTTCTGTTTTTATTTTATTTTATTTTATTTTATTGAGGAACAATAGCAATAAGACAGTTTCAAAACCAATTAATAGGACAGTTTCAATAATTAATACATAGCACATTGTTATCTTCTTAGTGGTTATCCATAAAACAAGATGCAGATAGGATATCCTGTCCAAACACTATCAGTACAAATCTTTCTTCTGATTGAATTAAGTGAAAATAGCTGTATATCTATCCTAACTATACTGTATATACAGATACAAAATGGTCCTTCCTTTGTATCCCCTTTTCTTATTTAGTCCTGTAAGAGAAGGGTATTCCATTGGCATCTAAATACTATAGGTGTGTAAATTCAGCAAAACAATCCAACACAGTCCAGCAGTACATAATAGTAGTGGGTTATCCACAGAAGTTGTTGACTTGAGCCTTTCAAGCTAAGCATATTAATATGGCTTTACTTTATATACCTCGTTTTTATACTTTTCTGCTGGATGGTTAACACCAAGATAAAGCAAGACCTATATAACAAAAAATGTAACGTTTTTATCTGATAAGGTCATTCAAATACCTTCAGGATTCATGCCATAACCCTGTACTACAGTGCAGATCCTTTGTCAATGTCAGCCACGTGGATGAGTCACAGCCATTGCTTGACCAATTTGCTCTCTTGAAAGCTTGAGAGAATGTTTTCTCTCTATGTGACTCTCCTTAGGCACACTCTATGACATTAATCACATTGCTCTGTGGCCCAAAAATCTCCTTGATCAGAAAATTTGGGACCCAACTGAGTTACATGATGTTACTGTATAGGTTCTCCTATGTCCTCAGTCTTCACTGACCTTGAAAAGCTATGGTCAAAACGTTGACTATTCTTGCAGCCCTTCTATTTCTCTAATTTTCGGTCTGCAAACTTAGGTTGTTAACCCTCCAGAAAAGAAGCTTATTATTACCCTGTAACAAATGCAGTTCGGTTTAACCTCACTATCCGGCTGAATATCAAACATCTTAGGCATAATATGGAACAGGTATTTTCCATCAAGTACTGATATATTAAATTTTAAGTCCCTACAGAATTTGGAGAAAAAAATGAAAACTATTTAAAGAATATTAATAAACAATTGCATATTTTTACACAGAAATTTAGAAATCTAACCACATGTAGCATAGTGGCAGGACAGTCCTGTGACTTTTTTTCCCTTGTGTCTTTTTTTTTAATTTATTATCCTTTAAAACAAACAAACAAATAAACATTTACTTGAGAGACAGAATGGTAACAATTAGTATGTCATGACAAGAAGTACATATTTAGAAGACCAGAATAACAGGCATTCCAAGCCTGACCCTGCTATTTCACATTGATAACTTCAGTGCAGTTGCTTGGTTCACAGATATCAGCATACATAGTTAGTCAGGGTGAGAATCCTACCAATTAACTGCTAGTTTCAAAAACCTGCTTAAGTTTCTCAGGATTATTGCCTTACCCATCTGGTACATATAAATGTATGACTTTACCCCTGTCCTGTTTCCCAGCTTTTCTCTTTGCCCTCTCCTCATCCAATCCTCAAGTTCTCGCTTTCTTTTTAATTGTTACACCTTTCTATTTCTATTGCCTCATTTGAGTTTTTATACTAGGGAGACTATATGAAATTTACACATGTGGGTCTGGTTTGTTTCACTTATGAGTATATCTTCAAGTGGCATCCACTTCAATATAAATGCTTCAAGTTTATCATTCTTTATAGCTGAGTAATACTCCATTGTATACCACATCTTTTCAACCATTCCTCATGTGATGGGCATCTTGGTTAATTCGAAGATTTAGCTATCACAAATTGTGATGCTATAAACATAGATACACATATATCACTATGATATGACATTTTCAATTCCTCTGGGAAAATTCCCAGTAGGAGGATAGCTGGCTTGAATGGGGTTTTCAGTTCTAGTTTCTTAAGGAGTCTCCACAATGATTTCCATAATGGTTGAACCAGTCTACATTCCCACCAGCAATGGAGAAGGGTTCCCTTTTCCACACAACCACCCCAACATTTCTTGTTTTTTGATTTATTTATGATAGCCATTCTTTCTGGGGTGTGATGATATCTCAGTGTTGTTTTTTTATTTGCATTTCACAGATGGTAGTGATGTGGAGCATTATTTCATATATTCATTTGTTTTTTTAATTTTGTCCTCTGAGAAGTGTGTGTTCATCTTGGATGCACATTTCTTGATTGGGTCTTTAAATTTAGGGGCCTAATGTTTTATAGTTCTTTATAAATTATAGAGAACAGACCTTTGTCTGAGTACTTATTAGTTAAGATTTTTTTCTAAATTTGTGCACTATCTTTTTACTTTGTTGGTAATTTCTTTTGATGTGCAAAAACTTCTTAATGAGAGGTGATCCCAGTTGTTAATTCTTTCAAGTATTATCCATGCAATTTGATTTTTGTTCATGAACTCTTTGCCTACCCCTATGCCTTCAAGAGTTCCTCCTACTTTCTCTTCCAGGAGAGTTAGTGTTTCTGTTTTAATGTTTAGATCTTTAATCCATTTTTATGTTAGTTTAGTGCATGGTGATAGACCTGGGTCAAGTTTCAGTTTTCGGCATGTAGAGAGCCAGTTTTTCCACCACCATTTGTTAAAGAGGCCACCTTTCTTCCAGTAAGCGTGTTTGGTCCCTTTGTCGAAGATTGGGTGGCTGAGTGTGTTCGTAGAGACCTCTGCATCTTCTAATCTATTCCATTGATCTTCAGGTCTATTTCATTGCCAATATCATGCTGATTTTATCACAGTAGCTTTGTAGTATAACTTCAAGTCAGGAATTGTAATGCCACCTGCCTTGTCTTTGTTCCCCAGGATTGTCTTTGCTATTCTACATCTTTTCTGGTTCCAAATAAATTTTAGGTATGCTTTCTCTAGGTCTGGGAGGTATGTTGGTGGTAGTTTCATAGCAATTGCATTAAATCTGTATAACAATTTTGGGAGTATGATCATCTTTACAATGTTGGTTCTTCCTATCCAGGAGCAGGGAACATCTTTAAATTTTCTGAAACTTCCATGATCTCTTTTTTCAGAGTACTGTAATTTTCTGTGAAAAGATCTTTGACTTCTTTAATTAGATGTATTCCAAGGTATTTCATTTTCCATGGTGCTA